ACTTTTCTTATGTATCAAAATAAAACATTAACTTTTCTTATGTATTAAAATAAAACACATGACTAACTTCTTTTCCCTCAACAGTCGACTCAAGCTGAGGTCAACCTTGATGTCTCGTATCTTTACCAAGAGAACCTCCTGGAGTTCATGGCTGACACCGCCGTCTTGGGCAAAGAGGTCAGTGCTCCAGAAAGCAGTACTTGTGAACGTGGATTAAGATCACTCATCTTCGCATCACCAATCTTCACCTTCTTTGACCTTGGTATTCGCTCCAACTCTTTTCTTTTCTTTAATTCCTTCTTCTTCTCCTCCTTTCCTCTCCCTCAACCCTCTTCCTTATGTCTCTTGTTTTCCTCTTCTTATTTTTCTCTTCTTTCTTCTCTTTCGTCGTCTCCTCCTCCGCTTATATTAATTTTTTAAAAGTAAAATTTAGTTTCTCTTGCCTTCTCCTCCCCTCTTTATCATTTCCTCTCCTTCTCTTGCCTTCTTCCAATTTTCCCTCTTCCTTCCACCTAATCTTCCTCTCCTCCATAGTCTCTTCCTTCACCTCCTCTCCCTCCCCCCCCTCCCTCGTTTCCCTCCCCATCCTTTTCTTCCCCTTCTTCGCCTCCTTCTCCCACCTTCCCTTCCTTCCTCTTTCACTCCACCTCTTCCTACGCCTGTTTCCTCCACTGTCTCTTCCTCCTCCCTTCTCGTCTGTTCCTCTTATTCACCTGTACCTTCTTCTCGTGTGCTCTTCCGCCTTCTTTTCTTCTCCTTCCTTTCCTCTGTTTCTGCCGTCTTCTCTCCATCTCCACCTTCTCTTCCTGTTCGTATTCCCGCCTCTTCTTCACCTTTCTTTTTTCTTCTTCGTCCTTTTCACCTCCACCACCACCACCACCTCCTCCCCCCTCTATCTACCTCCTCCTCCTGTCACCCTTCACCTCCACCACCCTCTTCTTCAATCCTCCTCCCCCTCCTCCTCCTCCTCCTCTTCTTCAATCCTCCTCCTCCTCCTCCTCCTCCTCCTCCTCCTCCTCCTCCTCCTCCTCCTCCTCCTCCTCCTCCTCCTCCTCCTCCTCCTCCTCCTCTCCCCTCCTGTCCACATCACCACCCAGCTCCTCCCAGAACAGTTTTCATTTCCAGCATGGTTTTCATTATTATAATAATAATAATAATAATAATAATAATAATAATAATAATAATAATAATAATAATAATAATAATAATGATAATAAATAATAATAATAATAATTATTATTATTATCCTTATTATAATTTTTATTATTATTGTTATTATTACATTATTATTATTATTATTATATATTCATTATTATTATTATTATTATTATTATCATTATTACTATCATAATTATTATCATTATTACCATTATTATTATTATTATTTAATTATTTCATAATCATCATCACCATTTCTTCCTCCCCCCCCCCCCCCCCCCCCGCCCCCCAGACGAAGGCACAGCTGGTGTTGAGGAATGTGGCAACCGAAGCCGACAGAGACGTGCAGCTGAGCGCCTCCTTCGCGTGTCCACAGCTGGACGTCGACTATTCAGCTGATTTCATTTATTTGGTGAGTTTGTTTTGTTTTGTTTTGTTTTGTTTTGTTTTGTTTTGTTTGGGTTTTTATTGAGGGTCGGTTATGGTGGTGATGAATGATGGTGATGAATGATGGTGAGTGTGATGATGATTGTGGTTAGTTTTGGTATTGTTGTTTTTATTGTTATTGTTATTTGTATATAGAAATATTGACCTGTATAGATACACAGTTATTGTTGTTATTGGTTTTGTTATTGTTATTTGTATATAAAGATATTGATATGTATAGATACACGGTTATGTTTATACCAATGTATATAAAAGGTATTAACCTGCATAGATACACGCTTATATTCATACTAATGTATATAAAGATATTGACCTGTATATATAAACGCTTATATTTATACCAATGCATATAAAGATAAATGACCTGTATAGATGCACGCTTATGTTTATACCAATGTATATATAAAAATATTGACCTGCATAGATACACGCTTATGTTTATACCAATGTATATAAAAAATACTGACCTGCATAGATACACGATTATTTATACCAATGCATATAAAGATAATGACCTCTATAGATGCACGCTTATATTTATACCAATGCATATAAAGATAATTACCTGTATAGATACACGCTTATATTTATACCAATGTATATAAAAAAAACTATTGACCTGTATATATACACGCTTATGTTTATACCAATGTACGTAGATATTGACCTGCATAGATACACGCTTATGTTTATACGAATGCTCCCTTCCAATAACGGTCCCTACCCCGCCCTTCTCTTCCTCCCAGAGCACGCCCACCGCCCTCAGACTGGAATCGGGCGTCGGCCTCGGGTCCCTGGTGCAGGCCAAGGGCGCCTTCACCTACGCCTTCGAGGAGGAGCCGTTCCGAGCGCTGGCGGGCGTTCACTTGGAGCTGAACGGCCGCGGAGCCAAGGC